AACAATATTTTACAGGGAATACTTCTGTTCAAAACGCGTGTTTAAAATTTATACATACATATCCAACGAATTTACCGTTACACCGAATTGCAGGATAAACTGTTAAAACCATGTACGTATGTATTTATCATATCAGATAATATGATGATTATAATATGAGGTATAAGCATTGAATACATATGTCTGACTATACGTAGTTAAAGCAAGTCCTTGAAATGTCTGCGATAGCTGCTAACTAAAACTCCAAAAAGCCCTGAAAGTTTATAAGTTTATACAAATTTAAACAGGCATAACTAACTGTCAAATGAATTTTGATTTCATAATTCCACACAGCTGGTTCAAACATATTAAATACTGCACGAGAGGGCAACATTACTTAAATTTAACATTACTGAAATGGAGCTGTCAAACCATATGTTAATGTAATTCCATTAGTATATTACTTAATTTGTTTATGTTTATGATCTATTATACTGAGTCTGTTCTAATATTTGTGAAATGCTGTATTAATATTTTACAGGGAATAATTCGTTGTAAACGAAACCATTCATGGATATAGGGAATAAAGATTCTATAGTCATTGCCGTGTCAACCTGGGCCCTTCCTGAGTTTTATGAGGTTTATTTTTTAGATTTTTTCTGTAAACAGTAATATACTGCCACAGAAAATCTATAGACTGAGCGAATTTCAATTTGGCTGATTATAATTTCACTAAAATATGCTTTTACAAGTTTTACAAGTTATCACACGATTAAAACATTTACATAAAAATACAAAAATTTGCAAATTGCACAGGAAAAATAATTGATTTTAACATTCTAAGTCATAACAAAATAGTATAAATTTTATGTCACGTTATTCTTAGTTTCATATATCTTATATAGTTGTATCATTGACTATACGTATAGTCAAAGGTTGTATACAGTAGATTGCAGAATTAGTTGGCAAAAAGGTAATCCAAATTTTACTAGTGTCGGTTATAGCGCATTGACATTGACTTTATTTGCTATGTTATAAATAATTTTAAGTTGTACTGAAGTAAACAATAATCAGCGATAAATGAATTTAAATGATATTGTTATGGAGAGCATTTTACGTTAGATCTAAATGTGTGTTAAAACTTTCGGGAGTTCACAATTTCTTTAAAGGCTGTCACGAGATAGGGACCTTCAATTTGATCTGTCTCCCGTCCCCGTCGTTCTACGACTTCCCAGTCGGCCAAAATTTTAACGCAAAGAAATACCTTACGTAAATTTATGTGTGGATCGTTGGACTAAGTTAATAAACATAAATTAGTATATAAAAATGAAAAATAGTGGATGCCTACGTTGGTAGGCTCTTATAACTTACATTCTCATTAACTTGGGAGTTTTATTTTGACCCATGGAACAATACCTAGAAGTATTCGTCACCAATTCTGAAACAGTAAATAAAAAAGTCCCTACGTTTTCACCAACATACGTTAAACACACGCACTCGAAATCGACACGACACACCGGTCAAAACTAACGACGACGTGCACAACCGTTACGACCGTCGCCGTGCTCAAACATTTGCGAACTGAAGTTTGGCAACAATACAGCTTTTAACATTTTGGCGTCAAACTAAGGGATGAAGGAGATGGCACAAAAACTTTATGACACGTCACTCAAAGGTAGCGAGCGGCATGTCATGTCCCAACGAATTGAGACGGGGCAACTCGCGCCCTACACCGTCAGGGAACGGACTACTTACACATGCCTAGTCCCCTAATTCAAATCTGTGGTTTTGACTCATTGTAGCTATTTCTCATAAAAAATAAGTATCATAATTACTCTGTTAAAATTAATTAGAAATAGCGTCTAAGCAAATATTTTTAACACTTCTTTAACTAATCAATAGTGTAACCAATATAGTGTAATCAATAGTGTAATCAATATTTTTAACTTTTTAACTAATCAATAGTGTACAGCAGGCTGTTACATAACTAGATTTACTAATGTTGATTTTTGCCATTTTATATTGTATAGTACAGTTAATGAAAGGTTCATTTTAAAATGTGTATCCGGTGTTGAAATAATCTATTTATTAATGGTGAGGCGTTCCCGAACCGTGTCATGTTGAAAACATCAAGTCAGTTGATACTTTTGTTTAATGGTTTAATGTTTCATTAACAAAAGTTGCATAGTAACAGCTGACTATCCTTACATGAACACAGTGTCAGCAGTGTCAGAGGCCAGAGTTATGTCACTCGACGTTGAGCCCGTGTGGGTGAGATAATGGAAGTGATAGTTTTATTTATTTACATCACTTCCGCCGTCATCGGCCCCGGCGACTGCCGAGCCGAGCGCCGACTAGTCTCGTCTCTCATTGTAGTGTGCTAGTGCTAGTAGCTTTCACATTCTCCGCGCGGGGGCAGCACCAGACAGAACACATGTTTCCGTTATATGACGATAGGTTGCGTTGCTCCGCACCGCTATCTGGTTATCAACTAAATGCATTACATGTTCAATCTAGAGGTGTATAGTCAATGGTGTTACTTATCTCGGTGGTCTACTAATCTTACTTATTTCCTATAATCGAAGACAAAATCAGAGTAAATAACCTCATAGTTCTATAGGGCATTTTTATAATTAACCAGCTGTTAGTTAAAACAAATTATATTGCACTAAAACAAACCGAAGATTACATAGTCCAGTCAAGGAATGACGTATAGAGTGCGTGAGCAGGTAACTAAGCGATTCCTTCAGAAACTTGTTCAGGGGGCTTAGGGTGTTAACATACCAAAAGTCCTGACTCCTAGGTGGTGAGCCAGGGGGTGGAGGGGGGAAAAAGGGGGGAGAGAAAGGTACGCATTTTGGGTTTTTTGATTATATCTCGAAAACTATCAACTTTTTGTATACTATAGTAAATTATAAAATTGAAGAAGATTAAATTTTCTACAAGAAAAGTATATAATGTGTTTATTTTGGCTCAACAGATTACGAGTTATAACTTATTTAATTGATATCTTATTAAAATCTCCTTCCATAAGAAATACATGTAAATTAGTATGCGAAATGCGGCGAATCCTATCCGCCCAAAGGAAATATAAATGATATCCTGGAAATCTTGACAAAATTTCCAGTAATTTGACACTTTAATCATTAAAATTGATCCAAAATTAAGGCGAGGGCGAGGTAACAAAATGTCGAGTTTTGGTGTTTTTTTATTGGAAATATAAAAAAAACCTTAAATCATCCCATTTTTAAACGCTCACCCTCGCTTTAATTTTTGACAAAATTTCATGATTAAAGTGTCAAATTACTGGAAATTTTGTCAAGATTTCCAGAATATCAGTTATATTTCCTTTGGGCGGATAGGATTCGCCCCATTTCGCATACTAATTTACATGTATTTCTTAAGGAAGGAGTATTTTAATAAGATATCAATTAAATAAGTTATAACTCGTAATCTGTTGAACCAAAATAAACACATTATATACTTTTCTTGTAGAAAATTTAATCTTCTTCAATTTTATAATTTACTATAGTATACAAAAAGTTGATAGTTTTCGAGATATAATAAAAAAACCTAAAATGCGTACCTTTTCCCCCCCCTTTTTCCCCCCTCCACCCCCTGGCTCACCACCTAGGAGTCAGGACTTTTGGTATGTTAACACCCTAAGCCCCCTAAACAAGTTTCTGAAGGAATCGCTTAGTTACCTGCTCACGCACTCTACACCTACTTTTGGATCATTCATTGACTGGACTAACAAAGATTACCTAAAAAAATAATTTGAACATCATAGTATTTTACTATGTATATTTAAATAATCCGGCGTCGTCCTGTTATTCAGATACATGGAAGTCACGAATTGTGGATATTCATACTTGGCTTAAAATACCTACCGGTACCTTTGTATGGTGGCCTTTTCAGATAAAAGTAGAACGTATAAAGCAAGAGAAATGGTCACATCTGGACCTCTTCTAGCAGTTGATATTCTTATAGTAGTTTTGTATGACTTTTTTGTAGTGTTGAGTGTAAAGTTACATGTGCTATTCTTTGTTGAATGTTTTTTTTTTCAGTTCACGCAGAGGTGTCGGTCACGGATATATGACGTTAGAATTGTCATGATCGGAATATTTGTTTAGTAAAATTCCCAAAGATATTGGAATGTGCCTCAACAGATAATGTTTTTTATCAACTTAATGTTCCTGTTTTCCTAACACTCATTTTCCGTAAATTTATCACTGTCCATGATCCTCGAGTTTCTAGAGGGGCATAAGTACAAATCATTATGCAAAAGGTGCCATGGACATAACATAAATCCCTAAAATCAGCAAATCTGTGATAATTGTATTTCTTCGTCCAAACCACTCACAGTATCAATGTTCATGGCTGATCTTATACCACAACGATGTACATTTCTCTTTCTATTTCCAACGATTCTATATTCCTCAAATTAATTCATTATGCTGCAAATATTTCGGTTAAATGTAGGCTACCATACTGTTTTATCAAATGGTAATACTTAGTTTGTGTAAGGAATTGTAATTTTTGTATTAACTGTATATTTGTTTCATAAGCTATGTTTCGACCTTTAAACATATTTAACATATCTAATTCTCCAATAGATTTCAAAAATGAAATAGCAATTGATTTAGAAATACAAATTTCTAATTAATACCATACGATGAACAAAAAGGTTGTAAAAGCAAGATTTTACGACCATAATAATGATCCCTCCCACATTAACAATAGAATGAGTGCTGATAACACAGAGTGTCGTACCACAAATAGATAATTATTTAAGGCAAAAGGTTAACTAGATCGTTCATTCGATCCGTATCCAGCCGAGCCCTCTCGCTCGTCCACCGAATTCTACCTTCGAGTCGAAACACTCCACTACCCTGCCTTCGGGGAAATAAATATTTACCTATAAATGTTAAAAATACACTAACAAAACTGAAAAACAGTATCGATGTATCGGGTGGGGTGCGGGAATGTGGGGTTGGCATAGAAACAGACGGGAGTGTGCGCGGAGGTGGCAGGGAGTGATCAATACCCCAGCATCCAGCAGCACTGAGCGAGCGGTCCAGCGCCCAGCGGCGGCCCAGGTACACCTCCAGGTAAGTTCTACACTATCATCTTGTACCCATTGGTTCATTATGAGAACAGTTTTCTGTATTATATAGATCCACTCGTTTGCCACATACCCTTCGTTTATCAAGCAAACTAGACAGTTTTGCAAGTTTACCTTTCTAATCGGTTTTAGTGGTTTGTTTTACAATTATTTTTTAGATTTTTTCATTGATGTGTGAGGGACTATTCAAGTATCTTATGGGGTTAAATAGTTTTTAAATCTAATAACGAACTATTTTTCCTCCATATAAGTTTAGCTTCAGTAATTTAATTCACATGTTTAGTAATTTATGCATTGATGAGTATTCAGCCCAATTATACGTTCATTCCACGCACTGTAATCATCATATAAAAACTAATTTTCAAAGTTAGAATCAGGTACCGGATCGGCGTAGTGAATTTTAGTTATTTAAATCTAGCTGTGCAATGTATGCTTAAATGTGTCAAACCCCAGATTATTTAAATATGTACTGTACTTCATAATCGTTTAATGATGTTGTGCTATCTGTTTAAAGTGAAAAAGTAATTTGCTTAAAGTTAGGCGAAGTATGGACGGATTAATTTATTTGCCAGAACTAAGGCGCATGCCTGGGGTTCTGTTCACCATACGACCGCATCCCTAACAGCCGCCTCTTACAGCCCCAGAATACATTGTAGTTTCTACAGGTTTAAATCACCATTTAGTAAAGGATAACGTCTCTACTGACAAGGTAGTGGAGTAATTACTTAGTAATACTTGAACACGGCATGACATTGAAGTAATTTATATTTCAACTGTTATAATATGATGTTATAGATAAAAATGTATATTTGCATTTACAGAAACTAATATTACGTGTTTAGTTTAAAAGGCTAATAAAACATGTAACCACCACCAGGCACAGAGCAAACAAATAAAACGTGTAATTTCCTCAATCACAGCAACAAAAAATAAAACAAGTAGGCTAAATCTCTAAAAACGATCAGTAATAAATATTACGTGTAAATGCTATGATATAGAAACAGCAGCACCATTTATAGCGTTTAAACACCTCAGTAACGAATAGAACGTGTAAATTACTCAGCCACGTCAGTAACGAATAGAACGTGTAAATACCTCAGCAAAATCAGTAACGAATAGAACATGTAAATTACTCAGCCACATCAATAACGAATAGTATATTTATATTACTCAGCCACATCAATAACGAATAGTACATGTAAATTACTCAGCCACATCAATAACGAATAGAACGTGTAAATACCTCAGCCACCTCAGTAACGAATTGAACATGTAATTATTCAGCAACATCGATAACGAATAGTACATGTAAATTACTCAGCCACATCAATATATCGAATATAACATGTAAATTACTCAGCCACATCAATATCGAATAGAACATGTAAATCACTCAGCCACATCAATAGCGAATAGAACACTGTAAATTACTCAGCCACCTCAGTATCGAATAGAACGTGTACAAATTACTTAGCCACATCAATAACGAATAGAATGTGTAAATACCTCAGCAAAATCAGTAACGAATAAAACGTGTAATTGTCTCCGGCACATCAGTAACGAATAGAACGTGTAAATATCTCAGCCACATCAGTAACGAATAAAGCTTGTAAATATCTCACGTTTGTCACAAAAACTATCCTACTGTCAAATATTTTCTAAAATGGGAAATAAAACCGTCTTAAGTACAATATTTCCATCAGAACGTTGAAATGACAATGAAAACCCACGAATCCTCCTTTTCAATCTTTGTGCATTCTATTTATCCAGGCAGCATATGTTATGAAGACTCTCATCCACAAAGTCCAAACCGAATGGGAGTTTTCCTACAAAGAGTTCCTCCTTTTATACCCCCTTAGGAGAAATGAATCGGTCTAGTATCAAAATAATCTGTAATGTACTTTTACGTACGTTTCCTCATTACAGTACCTAAGTAATATTAAATTCATCAGCTTTATTGTTTCAATGGACCCACTTATATAAACTTATAATATTTACTAAACAATGTTTTCACTCGATCAGGAAATTTACTTTATTGTAAAATCATAAAACTGCTATTTTTATTGATTGTTACTTTCCTTTACTATGCCACATTATGTATGTATGTGGAAGTATATAAACATACATAAATGTCTTTGTTACTTACGATTACGTAAATCACTAAACAAGTAAAAATCAAGATGGCGGCCAAAAATACACCTTCGCAGGGATGTAAACATATTACCGTAAACATGTACTATATACCTTAAAGACTTGTTATCATAATATACTAGTGTACATGTTGCTCGAATTCGAGCAATTGCAAAGGAATACAGAAGTTATTTCAAAACAAATAACAGTCATATTTACAATGAGTTCAAAAAAAAATGTGTCCACCTATGCGGAAATAGTAGTTTACGCAACGACGACACGAGTAGAAAATTTAAGGCACTCGCCAAGGCTCGTGCCTTAAAAACTTCTACGAGTGTCGTAAAGACTATTAACGCGAGTTGCGTACACTACTTTACCTACGACCGTTTTTTAATTACTATCAATCTGGATTTAATTACTAACAATCACTACTGATAACTTTTTAGAGAGGTTATGTTTTCGTGTATTGTCATTGCCACTGAAAGTGATGCAACGACTTGTTGTATAATCAGCTGATTTCCTGTAATTACGTGTTTGTTAAACTTCGTTAAATATTACATTGCTAGCAGCATTCTTACCATAAATAATATTGTATCAGGTACAATTCGGCAAATATTTCATTTATTTTTGGACTTCCACCATCTTAATTAAGAATACGCGAGTATCAACATGAACAAGTCGGATCAACAATTAAATTGGTCAACTGATCAGCTGATCAGCTGATTAGTTGACGTTCGAAGCATTAAAATTTTAATTCTTTTCTCTCAATACTTGAACCTCATTGGTCCGTTACCTGTGTGGATATGAGAAAACTATGCGGATATGAAATGAAACTATGCGGATATGAAAGTAAACAGCTGTAAAGTGAAACTTTTAAATTCTAAGAACTGGACTGAAATGGCTACTTTAAAAAACGGTCGTAGGTAAAATACATTTCTTTATAATTTGTATCTGTATATTGTATTGTTTAACTTCTGGAGATAAACGAGTTGACTTTGACTTTGAAAAAAGAGTCAACTCAAAGATTACCGGTGTGTAACTCATGGAGATACTCACGATGTATATAAAACAGTAATGAACATTTCCTGGAATTATTTTATCATATATTGTTGTATCTGGTATTGTTTTGTAAGTGTTTTCTACACACATTTCCTAACTTATAGCCGCATAAGGTTGTCCATGTTTATCTTCGTTATTGATTAACCTATGCATGGTACCACCCTTGTCGCCAGCAGTAAGTTTACAAATTTCAGCCATTCTTTAATAAAGATAAAAACTTTTTTCATCACCTAAAGGACTTCCTGTTGTCTGTCACAATTTTATTTGTTCAATTGGCGTACTTTTGGTTAGTTGCAATAACATTAATTATATTTACCTGAGAAAATGCAGAGTTAAAGATCTGATGTTGTTCAGTTGGTTTTTGTTTCCCTTAGCTATATATGAATAATAATTAAATGCATTAAATAAAAATTTTAGTAAGGGTTTCTTAAATATTTTCATAAGCTATTATTCTAAAATCACTTGACTTTTATGGAAACATAGATTAATGTCATTAACGTACCAGATTTATTTAGCCTTAGAGAGGGTTTTCCTCTGCAATGATCACAGAGTTAAGTCCATGTTCCCTACTATAAATTGTAGCACGTCGGCTAACATTCTTGTTCATCGTTTGTAGGGACCTTCATCTTGTAGGTGTTCTTCATTATAAAGGGTAATAACGATCATAAATTCTTTAAAAAATAATAACTCTATTCCTTCTACTCGGTGGCGTTCTATGACTTTTTATGTTTCCATAATTTCAATAGTCATTTCCAATGATTTAATTTTTGTGGGACGTATTTCTTTGAATTGCAGCTTAATATTAACAGCAATTAAATATCCAGCTGATCATAATGTAAATAAATGTGTTATTCATAATGCTAACTTGTGAACTTTAAATGCCATTGGGGCAGAGCCCAAGGAACTTTTTCAAAAATGTAAGGCCAGTTTGCACTTCTACGTGACACAATCTTTCCAATGAGACGTCAATGGTTAAAATCGGTTAAGAAATGGGGAAGGAGTTCAACCGACAAATTTCGTTTTGGCGTATTAATTATATAAAAAGAGAAGTATGTAGTAAATATACATAATTAATGTAAATAAATGTAAATAATGTAATTAATTAATTGTATTTAAGGGGTTTATTTTTTACTACATAAAATATTAACACATTTCCACTGATTTAAAGGGTGTTTTTAAAATAATGCCGGGATTTTAAATATAACTAGTGTACATGTTGCTCGAAATCGAGCAATTGCAAAGAAGTACAGGAGTTATTTATAAACAAATAACTTGTTTAAAAATAATAACAGTCATAATTTCTGATGATTTTAAAAGAGTCAACTATAAGATTATTAACTAAAGGAAATACTCACTATTTACATGACAGTCCTATTCCAGTTTAAAGGGTTAATTTTTAACAATCAATATGTCCATGTACGGGAAAAGGTAAGCTTACATTAAGTCAACGTAAAAAGGCTGTCAGCTTTTATAAAGTACCGTACCTAAGTTGTTTAGCCAATATGTAGACAATAAGGTGTAGGCTACTTTAAACTCTAGGCAAAAACTGATAGAACTCTGAAATGGTGTTATTTATCATAGGCTTAATAATATGCCAAATCCTTAGAATAAAAATGCAATAACTAATAACCGATATCATTCAACACAAACCAACATCCAATACTAAACACATTTTTAATACAACATAGATAATTTACACATTGACTGTTTTACATATGTTCTTCTTCTCACTATTAATTTTTGCTTCGCAACGGGAAAAATCTGTTTCATAATCATTGAAATAGATTTATAATAAAT